ATGACACATGATTCTAAGACTTCTCTTCCATATAAGAGATGGAGCTGGCCAGGAATGGTGTCATGTGCCTGGTGGTTCCAGTTACTCTATAGAAGGAAGGCCACTTGAGCCCAGGAGTTTGAGAACAGCCATAAGCAGACATTATAAATAGTAGTGAGCTTGCCTAGCATATGCAAGTTCTAAGTTTGATCCCTAACTCTTTGAGGGAAAACAAACAAGCAAACAAACAACAAGGACTTGAAGCTACCAGACCAGATGACAGCTATTTTCCAAGAAAGACCTTCAAGTGACTGAGGATTTAACCAGAGTTAAGGAATATGGATATATACATTGGACAAGGATGGAAGGATTGCCTGAGTTGGTCTGTGTCTGAATTAGAATTACTATTGCTGTGATCAATGCCATGATGCTTATCACAGTTCACTATCAAAGGACCCATATTACAGTTCATCATCGAAGTCAGGACAGGAACTCAAGCAGGTCAGGAACCTGGAGACAGGAACTGATACAGGGTGTCAAAGAGGAGTGCTGCTTAATGGCTTGATCCTCATGGCTTGCTCAGACTGCTTTCTTATAGCAATCAGGACCACCAGTTCAAGGATGAACCACCCACTATAGGCTGGGCTATTCCACATGAGTCACTAATAGAAAAAATGCCCCACAGTTTTGCCCAGAGCTCAATCTCATGGAGACATTTTCTCTATTAAGGTTCCTATCTCTCAAGTAACTTGAGGTTGTGTCAAATTGACATAAAACTAACAGTCAGGATGGTACTGCAGCGCAAAAACCATAGCAGATGGGCTGTGCTCTCCCACGTTAGCCATTAATCAAGAAAACAGCCTATGGGCCAATCTGATAGAGGAATTTTCTCAGCTTCCTCTTCCCACATCCTGGCTTTTGTCAAATTGATCAAAATAAATAAATAAATAAGTCTAACCAGGACAGCCTGGTTTTATGGAGCAGTCTTGGGGAATTTCTTTCAGACAATGAGGGAGGAAAATATTACAGGAAGAGCTAAATTAGTTTTGAGACTACATGAAAATAATCTACCTAGAACGATTTTATCTCCCAAACAAACACTGCACCACTGCCATGTAGTAGGTGCTCTGGGAATACATGGTCCAGTGGTTTGAAAGAAAATGGCCCACATAGGCTCATAGGGAGTGGCATTATTAGGAGGTGTGGCCTTGTTGGAGAAAGTATATCAAGCAGGGTGGGCTTTGAAGTCTAAGAAGTTCCAGCCAGGCCTAGTGACTCAGTTTCTTCTTGCCATCTATGGATCCAGATATAAAACTCTCAGTTCTTTCTTCAGCGTCATGTTTCCCTGCATGCTGACATGCTTCCCACCATGACAATAATGGAGTAAACCTCTGAAACTGTAAGCCAGCCCAGTTAAATGTTTTCCTTTATAAGAGTTGTCATGGTCACTGTGTCTCTTCACAGCAATAGAAATCCTAAGACATATGGTAATAATGGTAACTTGTATGTACATACTACGATTTTAATAAACCCATATTCATAGATGAAAAAACTGAGGCACAGTGTTGGTAATATAACAGGTTTTCAGAACCCATGTGCTGGGAGTGATAGAGTTGCTTTTGATCCCAGCATTCAGGAGGCAGGGGCAGGCAAACCTCTGATTTCAAGGCCAGGCTGGTCCATAGTGGCTTCCAGCCCAGCCACGACTATCAAGTGAGATGTTATCTCAAAAAACAAGAAAACAAAAACCCCTAGAACCTACTTTTCTTGATTCTTACATCCTTGACAGGTTCTTACTATGTACCTCCAGCTGTCCTGTACCTCACTATGTAGACCAATTTGGTATCAAACTTAGAGATCTGCCTAAATTAGGCATGTTCCATCATGCCTGGCCACGACTTTTAGATCTTGAGAGATTGATTTACCATGTCCCCCACCCCAATACATCAGATATGTAGCATAAAACATTCTTAAGTATACTATGACGCCTAACAAATGTTAATGAAAGAGAAAAACTAGTGCTGGGGTAATATGATTTATGCCTATAACCAACCCCATGTAGTAATGGCTATAGTTTTTCCCCTTTCTTTTGAACAACTCCAAGAAGGAACACATTCCAGGTGTGGAGTTGATGGACCCAGCTCACTTCTACCTTTTTGCTCCCAAAGTCCACTTACTATATTGTTCTTGGAAAGAAGACAGATCAGATATTAGACAGGTAAGAACACACAGTATGCTTGATCCTTGATCTTAACCAAAAGGCCAAGCAAGTTATGGGTTGGTTTGTGTGTAGGAGTATACCTACAAAGGCCATAGAGCATTAGGCATCCTGCTCTGTCATTCTCCATCTCATTTCTCTGAGAAAGTTTCTCTTACTGAACCGGAAGAGTCTGGCAACAAGCAAGCAATGATCCTGTCTGGCTCCCACAGTGCTGGGGTTACAAACATGCACGTGACCAAGCCCAGTTGTTTACATGGGTGCTAGGGATCTGCACTCAGGACTTCATGCTTGCACAGCAAGGGCTTTTTTACCCACTGAATTATCTCTTAACCTCTAGCAACGAGTTTCTCAATGGCTGAGAGTGTTTGCTGTCAATCATTTATTAGAATCTGAGCAGATAACACAAAATGCGCATCTTATTTTTAGTCCCTAGACTATGTAGACAAAAGATTTAAAGAGAAGGGGCGAACCACATTATGACATTTTTATTTCTTTGCCACATTTGATAAAAATGTTAACAATGCAGTTCTGGTTATGGGAGCCTTAAGTGCCGTGTTTGTTTTCTAAATACAAATCAAGATGCTGGTCAACTTTTCTTTCTTATGGGAGCTTCAAGGCACTTAAAAGTAAAAACAAAATCCCGTAATTTTAGTCATACTAGCATCCGTAGAGGTCTTCCTATGTGTCACAAGCTGACCTGATCCCTTTCTATTAGCTAATTTATTTAGTATAAACATACAGGCGCGCGCGCGCGCACACACACACACACACACACACACACACACACACACACACACACACACACACAGGCACTGACATGATTCTATGCTCTTTTGGATGAGGAAAGTGAGGGCCAGGGAGATGAGTAACTTGGTCTAGACAACTTCTAGCTCCAAGAATGAAAGTCTAGTTTACGTACAAAACGATCCAGGAATCCAAAGCGTGCCAAGCCACTCGGCCGTCGTTTTTATAAAGGGTTACTGGCAGTATGCAGCTTAAACTTCGGAGGAAATGCTGCAGCCAACTTTAGCTTCAGGGTGGGGCTGTAGGGATAGATGTCTGGCCGCTTGGCCAGGGATGGACTCTCCCTTTCTCACATCGCTTTTCCTTCGCGTCACCGTTATGTCTCCACGCCAGAAGCCTGCCCGGGGCTGGAGCTCCCATTTGGGAAACATCTATCTGGAGAAGAACCCTCTGCTAGTCTGAAGTCGCACCCAGCGTGACGTAACCCGAGCGCCTGCTTGGCGCAGGGGGGCGGGGCCACAGAAGCCGACTGGGTCGGAGGGGGCGGAGCCCTGAGCTGACTACCCAGGCCTAGGGCAGGGATTGTCGGCTGGGGGAGGGGCCAGGATGGACGAACTGTGGGCGGGGCTTAGTCTGTGGACTCGCTGAGTGATAGGGAGGGCGTCACCTAGTTGGTGGACAAGCTGGGGGCCTAGAGTCTGCAGGATGGGGCCCAGAAGGGTGGGGTGGTGACTGTCTGCCGGGGTGTTGGAGCCGGTTGATCTTCTCCCTGCTTAGCCTAGCTAATTGGTTGGGGGCGGGTCTACAGG